ATTTATTAATCATGTCTTGCACTATGGGCACAATCTCTGCTGTTACCTGAGAAGTTATTTCAGATTTCATTTTTTCCAGATCCTCTTTTGTTGCCAGTTCAGGGAGTCCAGGTGATTGAGTATCGGATTATTTCATCTCATTTCCCTTTGGGGTTGCTGTAGGTGATCTGGAAGTCTGGTTTTGAGACTTCTTTATATGTCTTCTCATTTCGACAGTGTGTGTGTGTGTTTGTATGTGTTTATGTGTGTATGTTGCTGGTGGCCATGTGGCTCACCTCTTCTGTGCTGGGGACAGTGGTACAGCCTGTAATGTATGTTTTACACCAGTATTTTTAGATTTTTGTTTACCACAATCCACAGTAACATTCTATAATATATATTTGGATAATTAAAAGTTTCATAGAACTTACCAAGAATTTATGCAAAATACTGTGATATTATCTATTTTGTTCTACTTTATTAAAAAATGATATTCATCAAAGATGATTTCATAACCCATTACTTCAGCTTAATAAGACCCTATTTTAGACCACGTTTTTCAGCAGGTTTGTGGTCAAATTTTTTGTTAATATTAGTTTTTCATATTTATAGGAAATGCTTTTGATTCAAATTGCTAGCTTTTCACTGATTTCTAGGATATGAATTTTCTCAGTGGTGATTTCTTTTCTTTCTGCAGCTCTCTCTCCTGTGTGAATATAAGTCGAGAGCATTATAAACCTAAGGACCTCATCAATTAGAATTTGCAATTGTCAAAATCAACCTACCATATCCTTTCTGATCTGGTTTTTTTCCTTGAAAAGTGGAATCATCTTTCAAGTTATTTTTGTTGCAGAATTAAGAAAATGGCTGACAGCAGTTTAAATAAAAACTCCACAAATTGCCCCAGTAGTTCTCAGAAAGATGGACTTTATTGTGATGCAAGCATTTCTCCAGTTTTGGTGGTGGAAATGTCACAGACATCAAGTACTGATAGTACAGAATTTTTATTTCCGCCAGATAGAAAAAAAGAAAAAATTACCAGCAGAGATGTTTCTGGGAATGATTTGGTAAATATTGAAGATTCAGCATGTCAGCACAATTTGACAACCCATTCTCTTATCTCATTCCTTGCTTCTTCTATATTCCTTGAGTCCTGTCAGCTAATTCATTGCCTTCTTAACTCTTAAAAGAACATTTCTTTCACACAGGACAGGTGAACAAAGTTGGTTGTTGGTTAGATGTTTGATATTTCCAATCACTGTCCAAGTTAAATATTTCTCAGGGTCCTGAGTTACACAGAATCTTGGGTTATACAGAAAAGAATTGGTTTTTATAGTTGAATTAAATCTGAATTTTTGAGCACTTTTGTCAACTGATGTAGACTGAGATTTGTGGTTGTGGTTAATAAGATTTGTAGTTTATGGTTATCTAGCTAGAATACCAAATATATTTTACAAATCAGTTTGCATTAGTTATAAACAACTTTTAGATAATCAATTGAAGTGATTTGTCTATATTCATGTATATAAAAAAGAATCAGTATGGAAAATTATAGCTGTTATGACATGACTTGGAAGACAAAGCAATCAGTTTAAGAAAAATCAGGTTTTAATTCATCAAAGTTGAAACTTTTTCACATTTTACTCTCACCTATTGTGATTTGTATTGTAGTATAGTTTCTTTATTATAGGTGTCTCTGAGTGAGTTGTTATTTTCATTTAGAGCATATTTTGTGAGTGTCTGACCAATCTATATATAAGGGATTAGAAATTTATGTTTTGAAACAAGGCTGATTGTTAACTCTGTGAAGTTACCTTCTCTGGTGTTTTTAAAGAATTATCAAGTAAATTCTGATGTATCTGTTATGCAGGTATCATGTACACCTACCTGGGTTGGGAAGATTGGACTGAGTGACTTCTTAAGGTCTTATGTAGGTTCATGAGCCAATGAATCACATAGGACTTAGAATTTGAAAAAAACCAGTAGACTGTTTTGTAATATAAATATCATCACACATATTAAAAATTTATCAGATGTATCTAGAGTTCTTTATCAACAAGAATATTGTGTCTTAAAATTATTTTTCCAAATTCCCTTTTTGTCCTAGCTATTAGGAACCTCAATCATAGAGAGAAAAACATCTCACCAGCAGTGGGGTCGAAGCAATGTTATGGAAGGAAAAGTTCCTCACATAAGGATGGAGAGTGGAGCAGCTATTGAGGTATGCAGGGGAAACAAGATAAAGCTATTAGGAACTTTCAGGTTTTTTTTTTCTAAACCAGTGGTTAATGGAAACCGGTGGTTAATGATTTTAAAATCAGTCTCTAGAGAAGTAAAGAAAGGAGAAAATTTTAACATTTTCAAGTATGTCAAAGTTTTTAATAAAGAAAATGCAGACTATATTCTGTTTATGGAGGACTAAATAGACTTTGATTCAAGTAGAGAGTATTTTATTTAGACAAAAGGAGAACATCTTGATCCAAGCATCTTGGCTAGTCTTAAAGACAATTGTGAAATCTTTGTGTAGACTTCTGGAAAACAGGGAGGCCAGGTGATTTTAAATAGTTCAGTTGTTCTCTCCCATGGCAATTGGTACTGAATCCATAGTTTTTCTTGTGAACCCCTCCATCTTTTCCAGATTGCTTCAATATCAGCATTATTCTTTCCAGAATTCCAATTAATATGTAAAATATGAATTAAATATTAGAACTATTTAACAAATTAAAAATTTTTCCCTTTAAAATATGATTAAAGGAAAAGTTACAAGAAGAAAATTGCAGTAATGCTAAGTAACTTTAAAAATAGTTTTGGAGCTATTTGGCAATTGACTTGAAGAGTTCAGGAAAATTCTTGAGAAATTTTGACTTAAGAAGTTTACATTTCCTCCTTTTAAATAAAAACCATGTACTTTAAAACTTCACAAATTTACTAAGTTTTAAATCTACTCATAAGAATTTTTCTAAAAGCTAAATGTGTTAATTTAAAAAATTATGAAAATGTGGATAGAGAAGTGAAGAAAATAAAAATCATCAGCCAGCTATAGCAAATTTAACATTTATTACATATTTTTCTAAGAGTTTGTCAGTTTTATTCTATTTTTCTTAAAAATTTTCCTATTTAAATTATGAAATATATGCATGTTTTGAAAGAAATAACTTTAACTGATAGAGTTGAAGTTCACACTTCTTTCCCACCTAACATGAATAGACCCATTTTAAATATTTTAGGCATTTAGAAGGGTGTGGAGACGGAAGTTACAGTCATCCACATTCTGCTACCCATAGTTAACTTCTCTTAATATTTAGATGAACAGCTTTTTGAACATCAATGTAAGCACCTACACATGCTTTTCATGCTCCATACTATATCATGAATGCTTTCTATGTCAATAAAAATATACTTACACTATCATTATTAATAGCATCTTCTGAAAATTATTAGAGACAAGAAATCATTTTCCCCTTATTTACCAGTATGTGGTGATATCAAAGCAGTGAAAAAAAAGATTAAATTATAAAAAAACTAACTGGGAACTTCTCATTTTAAAAAAATTTTATTTTATTGGTACATTTTAGGTATACAATATAATGACATTCATCACTGGAAATTTGCACCTTTACATAATCTCTCTTGGTTCTTATTTTTTCCCCCTTCCCTGCCCTCCCTTTAACTGCTCTGTCCCTCCCTATTTAGAAAGACTTTGGGAACTTCTCATTTTAAAGATCCTATTTATATAGTATTTTAATCTGTATCTAAATTGTGATTCTGTACATTTAGAAATTAGTAAAAGTTTAATTTTTAAAGGACAAGAAAGTGCAGGAAAGAAGTATGAAAAGTTTTTTTTTTTTCCTGTGGGGGAAAAATAAATGAACATTTTAATTGAGATTTAATTCACAATTCATTTTACATAATATATCGATAGAAGTTGCATATAAATACAATGAAATAAAATTATGTTTTGTCTTATGTTCTTAATAATCATCTAAGTTTTCTGACTTTGATTTTACTGTTATGCTATTATGTGGTATCAGGGAAGAGGGAGGAAATAGGTCTTTTAAGGGACACAAAAGGAACGGTTCCTTAAGGACCTTCATACCATCTTGGAAAAGAAAAATGAGCCAAAATAAGCAAGAGAGTAATAGTTTTTGAGGACCAATGTGTGCATGCTGAAGAAATAAAAATGAAGGAATAATCACCATGGTGCAGAGTTAAACAGGGAAGCCCTACAGGAAGGAGGTGAGTTGTTGGGCATTGAATCTTCTTTTAGGAAAATAAGAAAAGAGTGTGAGCAGTAGGAAATGTGAATGGCTTATTCCTCTGCTTCATGACAAAGGTGCAAGTGGCCACAGAAAGGTAGAGTGGTATCCATAGGGAGGCCTTGGCTGCCAGACCCGGCAGAGGCTTCACCTAGTGGCACTAGGCTCAGCTGCTCTCTCATGTGCTAGTCCCCATGCCTTGTGGGTCCAGAAACTCTTCTCGGTACTCTGGAGTGATTTGGATGGGGGAAATTGACTCCCCTCAAACTATTCACAAGAATGAAAGTATGAAGGAGTTACCTGTGTTTAATTTTACAATGTGAACCAGAATTCTGCTGTTGGAAAATCCAACACATTTTCTCTTTTTTAAGTAGAAGGTAAATGATAAGCAGAAAGATTCTTGGCCTGGATTATACAGTTATGGGTGGTGTTTATTTCCTTCTCCGTTCTGATTTATATTAAAACTTCTGTCACACATTGCTTTTCCTAAACAAAGTGAATAAAGCAATAAAAATAAGATCTAGTAGAGATAAGGAAAAAGTGTTACTTCTTAAACAAGGAAGCACTTGTTCAATTGTTGTATGTATTGATTTTATGGTATAGCTTCCAGAGCTTTGGGACAATTTTTGAGTAAATGTATTATTTATATACATGCACACAGGCAAACATATATATGTGTATGTATTAATATTCTACTTGTCCTCTGTCTCACAAAGATATTTCATTAACATTATAGGTTGAAAAAGATTCATTTTTATACTTTAAAGCTTTTCCTCGTTTCACCCTTAAGACTTTTATAGTTTCCCTCCAAAGGAGGATATTAATCAAAAAGTTAATCAAAACTTATTTTGAGTTAATTAAGATGTATTTATTAACACTGAAGCAAATATGTAGCAATGTCTTCTATTTGATTTTACCCTAGAGAAGAATCTCTTCCTTTGGGCCCAGAGCCCAATATCTGTCAGTATTATGTGCTCATGTTAAATACCAGATGAATGGCAGAGACAGATAAAGGAACTCTTTATTCTGTTTCTAGGAATTCTATACTTTTGGAAGAACGCTGGGACAAGGAAGTTTTGGAATGGTCTTTGAAGCTATAGACAAGGAAACAGACACTAAGTGGGCAATTAAAAAAGTAAATAAAGAAAAGGTAAGGGTCATTACAAGAGCGTATGTTAAGGACACAGTGCCAATGCAGGGTAAATTGGGGGAGCACTGCTTTCACACTAACACCAGCTCTGTCTGATGCTGGGGGCCAGGACCTGGACTGACCTACTGAGCAGTGTGGGCATTCTCTGCCATCCTGGAGAGGGACTAGTTCATGAACTCAGTCGATAAGTGCTGTCTGGAAAAAAACCAATGGAAGGATTAACATAACCATTGTAATCAAATTGGTAAATTTTGCCAGAGTGAGTTGAAAGTAAAGGCTGGTTCTCAGTATGTATAGGAGTAGGGCCATGGGCTACAGATGTCTTAGATAGAAGGGCGTTCTAATGCACTCTTCTAAGGTAGGTGTTTCTCCTATCCTTCCCTTTCATTCTGTTTCCTCATTCTTCACCGTTGGGTAATTCTTTGTTTCTTTATCCTGCCTGCTCCTTCAGTTTGAGCCGGTTTCTCCCATGACTATCTTGTATACTGTTTACTTATAACCACTGTATTCCTTGCTGCATTTCCTATTGGAGTGGACAAAAACTGGGCTTCTCTTTAAGGTAGAGTCCAAGGCCTGAGATCATTTGATCATACTTGGATAATTTGATCATACTTAGATCATTTTTTAATTAAGTTTATTGGTACATTTTAGGTATACAATACAGTTACATTCATTATTGGGATCTTGTACCTTTACATGATGTATCTTGGTTCCTATTTTTTCTCCAGTCCCCTGCCCTCCCTTCACACCCTCCACCCTTGTACTGGATCATTTTATCAGCTTTAAAAATTTCTATGCCTGGGAAAAAACAAAACAACAACATTATAGTGCTTTTCTCTCAAGTTTGTGATGATAAATATTATATTTATAAAACTAAACAATAGGTTTTATGTATTCTTTAAAACAAACTATAGTGCTGGGTGTGGTGCTGCATGCGTATAATCCCAGAACTTGGGAGGCTGAAGCAGGAGGACTGCCTTGAGTTCAAGGGCAGCCTGGGCTATATAGTGAGTTCAAGGCCAGCCTGCACTACAAAGTAAGTCTCTGTCTCAAAAAAACCAAACTGAAACAAAACAAAAAACCCCCCAAACTATAGCAAATTTCTTCCTAAATTTTAGTACAATAACATATCAATCTTCACAAAGCATTTAAGAACCTTTCTAGAATTTTTAGAATTCTTTAGAACTGTAGGTAGCATTCTTCAGTGCTAGCTAGAATGCTATTTCTGTTGCTTTCTTGGTGTCAGGTAGGTTAGAGGCTCAGTTTTATAGTATAGACAAGATAACTACTTGCAACTTTAGTAATTAATCTTTCACACATATCTTGATGTTGAGAGTTTATAAGAGGGCCGGGGATTTAGCCCAGTGGTTTTGCCGCCTGCTGCGCAAGCACAAGGACCCGAGTTCAATCCCCGGTACCAAAAAAAAAAAAAAGGTGAAAGAGAGTTTATAAGAAACTAGAGTAGTAAAATGAAATTATTATAGTCAGTATATGAGTTGGACAATATATTATTGCAGTCAAGATATTAGGGGAGGGACATAGGAACAGACTCGGGATGGATATTAGAAGAAATTATGGCAACTTTCCATGTCTATTCTAGACAAGAATTCGCTCCTTGTGGTCATTATTTCTAAACATCAAGATAAAACTTAAAATATGCTTGGATCCTACACAGATAAGGTATTCTACTCATCATAGGTCAGTATTCTACTCATCCTAAGACACTAAAGGTTGAAGAATAAAGGTAATTAGAAGCAGGAGTGATCCTAGCTAAAATTTTAATTAGATGATCTGTCTATTGTTTCTTTTGATCAAAAGAAGACAGTAAGACAAAATAAAAACATTTTCTCATAAGAAAACATTTCCAATAGATGTCCCTGGAAGATTTTGTTTTTATATCACATTGTCTTTCTGGTGTGAGAAATTGAAATGGTAAATAAGGACCAAAATGTATAACAGATAATGTGAAATAGGAAGAAATTGTTCAAAAAGAAAGGGAA